AGGCAGCACCACAGTGTAGTGTATGTGGGATTACTGGGCATACTGCTCATACGTGCTCTAGGCATATAGAAAATAATTGATAATATAATTCTTTCTCTTTTTCTTTAATGATTGAGGCATAGATGCATTCTCATCGTACAGTGGGGTGAGAAGTGGCCCACTTGCTTATGTGGCCGACTCGCTTATTGATTACGTTAACTAGTTAGTAGTTTAGTAACTAAGCCATGGTTATCAATTTTAATTCCCAGGGGTGGGTTGAACGCAGAATTTATATCTATTCAACTACCTAGATTATGACCAACATTATCCACGCTCATTGCTGAGCTGTGATGAACCTCATGAGTGTGGCATAGACTCAAGGCTCGCGAGGTTGAATGACAGGCTGTTGTTCAACAAGGCTCAGAAGAGGGAAAAGCAAGATTCCTGAGCTTCTTCAGAGACAATCCTGTGTGTAGATATCTCTCTTGCATTTTGCTTCTCCTTCTCGTTCACAGCCAGTATAGCCTGTTATAATAGTGGCACTGATTATTTTATATTTATTGATCTCGATGATTTGATTAAATTCTTTCATACATCTTTTTTTGCTTTTGTAATAGGATGAATAACCTTTCGTAAACCAAAACTCCGAGCCTGGATTATCCTTCTACCGGCCTGACCCGTATAAGACCATTCATTCATTCTCGTTTCTCTTCTCTTCTTTTCTCCCAACGAATCCGCCTTTTTTGCTCTATAAGGAAGTGCTAGGGCCGTATTCCGTAGCACGCCCGTTACAATGGGTTAGAACGTTATTAAAGTTCAGTGTTCAACTCGCCTTGGGAACTATGTTAACTAGGTAACTACATAGTAGTTTTAGCATTAGCGAGCAGAGCATAGTTTAACAAAAACCGTGGTTTATTCACTTATAATTCTAAGGCGTTAAGTTGGAATGCCAACAGCGATACCCGTCGTTGGTGTGTAAAACTGTCTCCCTATGGCAAACGGCCAAGTCTTAGTACGTCTATAGATTCTGCCCTGACGGCCTGTACCAATGCAATCCTGTCGGAAAGTCTAAGGATTGGTAAACCTCATGTTATTGGAGGGAGAAGCTAGTTAAACGATATACCCTATGTGCGATCACGTACGGCGGGACGGCCGGGGCAACGGCTAACCCAAGGTACGAGTAACATGCTGCGGGCTGCTTCCAACGCTCGCTAGCTCAGCTCAAGCGCCATCCATTCCTTATAAATCCGCAATAAAACTTAGATGCTGGTTTCCTGAATGGGGAAGGCTCTTCTGTACGAAACGAAGCTGTAGAATCAAAGCAAAACAACGCAGATGCTCATCCATCCTTGTATTCTAAATATTACCACCCATCCTGGTCCGTACAAAAAATCAATTGATCTCCGCCAATCCTAACTTGTCAACGGAATCGACGAACGCGGGCTCCGCTAGGGGTTGCGAAATCTCGATGTGGCGCAATCTACCCACGTTGTCTGACATCATCATGCCTCCAACCGGGCCTTCAAATTCGTCGTTCGGTTAGTTTTAACTAGCTGCAGACTCAGATCCAAGTGTCATGGCCACTTGGACCACCCGCGTTGTCTGACATCGGCTCGTTAATCAGTTCATCAAGGCCCAAGAGCCCCAGAGGTGTAAAATTTTCGGTTTGTTGCCGGCGTTGGCAAAGAGCCACACTGTCTTGTTCGATTCTCAGGCGTCTGGTTCCGTGGCACGTAGTCCTGCGTGAATAGGGTATTCCATCGGATCTCCCATTAACCATGAATTTAATGAATGAGTAAAGGCATCGAAGCATGGAGACGGCCTCATAAGGAGGAATGACGTGTGGTGTGTTGTAAAAACTAGCTAAGCCGAGAAGATGCGAAACAAACAGTTTACTTGGAAGGATCCGTCCGCCACTTGCTGTTAGGGGCTATGCATCCACAGCCAGTTGTATTTCCACGCCGCACCCAGCCATTATGCCCAAGCTTTACGCGGTCCAGAGCCATACCCTGATCGACACCGGCAACTGTGCACACTCACTTTTTCCCTTCCAGCCACCACCACCTGATACTTCCCCCCCCAAAGCGATTGTTGTGGCGAGAAGTTTTCTCCAGCTTGTTCACTTCACAGTCTCTCTCCTCAACCTCAAACATGCGGTATATATATATATATATTATATAGGACTGCCTTTTTCTTCTTCTACCACTTCTTCTACTGTTCTCTAGTCTCCTCTCCTGTCTATTCCACGTATCAGTGCCTCTTTCTCACACAGCTACTGTTGTTCCTAGTCTCTCTATATTCATGCCCCGTACACGGCGTCCGTAATGTCTTTCCTTGCATGGCGTCGCTTTGACCTTCTTGCTGGACTCGGCACGAAGAACCTGACAGAGACTCCTAAGGGATAACCTACCAGTTCTTCGTGTGTCTTATCATCGCCGCTCGTTGCTCTTCTTGGGGTCGATCTGTGTATCGACTCTTGGTTTCCCACTGATCAGGTCGGTCTGCATTAGCTTGCGCTTTCTCCGGTTTGGATTCCCGGCCCGTATATACGTCGAGAGTATAGTCTCGAGATCCTGGACTTTCGATTTCTCCCGCGATTCCCAGTTTTTAACGTGCCATGTCTCCCCAATTCGGGTTCAAAAAGGCGGTGGCGCGGGCTTACTGTAACTCGATTGATGCCCTCTCCACTACCTTGAAAGTCCTCGGCACCATCAAGTCTCGAATACCAATTATCTCCAGTATACGGATCAATTTTATATCCATTCACTATGCCTATATTATCAGCTGTTCGATCGCTTGCTCCGTAGTTCTCTTCTCGATTGGGAACATGAGTTACATTGATGCGCTGCTGTTTGGTGCCGGTGCTTCCACACAGAGTGGTCTCAACCCGATCGACGTAAATCTGCTGTTCACCTACCAACAGGTCGGGATCTATTTTACTTCCATGATCACCAATCCAATCGTCATCAATACAGCCGTCGTTTTCATTCGTCTCTTTTGGTTTGAAAAACGCTTCCAACATGTAGTTCGTGAAGCGAAGACATTGAGACGCTCGAAGTCAAGGTCCAGAACGATGACACGCGAAGCGGGCGAACAGGGTGATCGCGATCACAATCGGGAGGAGATGGGGGTACGAGGAAGGCATATTGTCCTTGTAAGGAACAGCGATACCGGACAACCTCGAACACAATTTACGGTTCCAGATATTGTGGAAAAATCAAGCCCAGAGTCCACCTCCGAGAGTGACATTTCACCAACAATAAATCCTGATAGCGTGACCAATGGCGACGGGATAAGTCAAAATGCAGCAGGGACAACACAGAACCGAGGCAGCGAGTCCAATGTGAAGAGGCCTACAGCTCCGGATGCTACTGATGAGGACGGCAATCTCAGAGCACCTCCACACCTGAGCCCGGAACATCATATTGCTTTCCTAGAACATCAAAGAAGGGAGACTGGGGCCTTGCGTATTCCAAGTCCACGAGAGTATGATAGAGGAGGAGTTCCTCAGTCGATAGACGATGATATTGATGGTGCAGATTTGAAACCAACACATACATCACAATCGGAGCAGCCTTCCAATCCGGCTCAATTGTCACAATTTCAACAACAGCTCCAGTCCTCGCCGGGTCAGCATATCACCATTGATGAACCTGACGTCGTTCGGGTGCGGTCGCGGACGGCTACCCTGCCTCGAATTAGCTCCCGCTACGGGCCAAGCACTGCTACAGCGGGACCCGATGAAAACCTTCCCAAACCAACTCGAAGGGGAACTTTAACTAGCATCTTTCGATCTACATCAGCTCAAGACGCCGATATTGATTCAAGCCCGTATCTTAGTTGGCAGCCGACCATTGGTCGAAATTCCGCATTTGTCGATTTAACCGAAGCTCAAAGGGACGAACTAGGCGGCATTGAGTACAGAGCTCTGAAAGCTCTTGCAGTCTTGTTGATTGGATACTTTTTCTTTTTCCATCTCCTAGGCGTTGTTTGCTTGGTGCCATGGATCATGCAGCAAACTAGATTCGGTGATATTGTCAAAGCTGCAGGCCAAGGTCGGCCGTGGTGGGCCATTTTCACGGCTGGCTCATCTTTCAATGACCAGGGCTTCGCACTAACCCCAGACTCGATGATATCTTTCTTCGATGCCATCTTTCCTCTCCTTTTGATGGCGTTCCTTATAATTGTCGGAAATACTGGCTTTCCTTGTATGCTGAGATTCATAATATGGGTGTTTTCTCACTTGGTTCCTCATGGCGGCCCACTTTGGGAAGAATTGCGCTTCTTGCTCGACCACCCAAGGCGATGCTTTACGCTTCTGTTTCCCCGCGCAGCCACATGGTGGCTATTTGGCTTCCTTGTTCTGCTCAACGTGGTTGACGTGATATTTTTTGTCATCTTATATGTAAGTCACACATCTTCAGGAGCGCGCCGTTTACGACTCCGTGTACTAATTGATCCAATAAGTTAAACAACTCCGAAATCTCGAAGATCCCTGGAGGAATACGGTTCGTGGATGGCTTATTCCAAGCAGCAGCTACGCGAACAGCCGGTTTATCGGTCGTCAATCTGGCTGAAGTTCACCCTGCCGTTCAGGTATCCTACATGATCATGATGTATATATCCGTTTTTCCTATTGCCATTTCAGTCCGTCGAACAAACGTCTATGAGGAGGGTAGCCTTGGTATCTATTCGTCTCCATACGTAGATAAAGACGACGGAGACGAGGCTTTCGAAGCAAAGGAGTTCAACTACGTCGGGGCCCATCTTCGAAGGCAACTCAGCTTCGATCTGTGGTTCATTTTCCTCGGTTTATTCATCATTGCCATCGTCGAGGCCGGCAGACTCGACAACACCGGAGAAGGTTCTTTAAGCATGTTCGCCATCTTGTTCGAAATCGTCTCCGCGTACGGAACTGTTGGTCTATCACTGGGCTATCCGGGCACCAACACATCTCTCTGTGCACAGTTCAAACCTCTGTCAAAACTCATAATCATCGCAATGGAAATTCGTGGCCGTCATCGTGGTTTGCCATACGAGCTTGACCGTGCCATTCTGCTTCCCTCGGAGTCTCTCCAGCGCAGGGAACTCGTCGATGCCAATAAGCGATCGAAACGTCCTGGATCCCAGGTCAGCGTGCATTCGGGAGTCACTGGACAGGGGCAGCCACAGACGACCAATCCGCAGCAGGATATAGGTTCGTCGAGTGGATATCAGAGAGACGGGCCACACGGTTCACGATGGTCAGAGGCGAACTCCCTTGCTCCGACTGGCGCTGTTACCATGACACCTCGGTTAGCGACTCACCATGAGATTGCCTAAAGTGTATAATTAAAATTGGACACGGTGTGTTTTTAGTCACTGGTATATCCTGATCTTTGCACTACTGTGATGCTATGTTTGAAACTCCTGGCTGGCCATTTCGAGTTTTCGACATAACACTACGACTTGCGCCATGGGGCGTTGGTTATACCTTTTCTATTCTTGTCTGCGATTTAGCGAGCGGTTTGCTGATACCATGTTATTTTTTGGATTTTTTTTTTAATATGAATTTTGATATTGGGAGGATTATTTTCGTTGTGCCCTTTTAGAGGTTGGCTTTTTGTTTCCAGATGTAGTTTTACCGTGCGGCGCAGGCGGTCATAATATAGATACAAATGTAATACCTAGTATTTTCTTGATGCTGGAATTATAACTTACACCGTATATAAGGTGGGACGTGTTCACATACTGCGATCGTAAACATGTCGATTCTCCACCGTAGGAGCGACATTTCTTTTTATAGTCTTACCTAAGTATGGTGTCATCTGTGTTGTTGTGAATCTTGCAAAGTAGTCACCGGAAGCAGGGACTGCGTGGGGAATATTCGACGAAGATAAACCAACGACATTCCCATTTCCATCTCTTCTTCACCGCGCAATTCCGTGACGCTGATAGCTGGCTGGAGCGCTTCCCGCAGTGGACGCTGGATCTACTGCTTGGGATCTAACTCTGGCCCAAGTTAAACTTTGTAAGAAATTAACTAACCAAGCTAACTGAACAACTCCCGCTCTGGTAGTTCGTTAACCTGTTCCGTTTGTTTCCCGATAGAGCTCAACTGCATAAATACGGGGAGGGGTTGAGATATGCATGCAACCTTTTGCCTTCTCTGTTCCTGATACGTACGCTATTCGTGACCAGCGTACCGGAACCTTTCGCTGCAGCTGTTGTTCTCCAGATCGTGCAGTGCGTGCCGTTTGCTCCCAGCAGCCTATTCAGCACCGCTTTAAGTAACCCTACGAATATAATCCGAGCAATCCGCGCACAGCTCCACACGAATAGCAATTGCGGTGTCTATCGTGAGTGAAAATGGACGGGGGTGCTAAGAGGTCAGGATGTTGCTTTTCGCATGGAGGGGTATCTGGTTTTTACGACGTTTGAAGTGGATTGATTGATGCAGCTACGAGCCCCCTTCGTTTTCTCTCTCAGGAACTAAGTGGAACTTGGTAGCTATATTTACACACTCAAGACAGTGTTCATTCCCATCAGTCTGCATGCGACAATCTCTTCGTTGGAAGATGCAAGGGTGCGTAGCTTTTCTCCCTGGTCAACTAATAGTCATCTTGGAGCTGGCAAAAACACTGAGGATTGCACTGAAGCATTCCTCTGGATCCAAAACCCCCCTTGATTCCAGAGAAGAAGAGTCTGGAAGGGAGTGTGGTATGTACGTACAGGTTGTATATGTACTCCGGCTTACCCAAGTTACTGAAGCAGTTTTGCCCGTTGACATGCATTGATGATGCATAAACTCTTAAGTTGGCACCGCAATAAATCTTCAAAACTGCAAGATGAAAAGTTATCGGACCCCCAAGATCTCCAAATGGGTTCATATAACATGTTCTGCAGAATGCTTTAAGTTTCGAGGATTTCTTCCCTGTTTGCGCTGTTCAGCCGGGAATTCACTGATGTTTCATTAATTGCTGCACCAGGAGCCGTGATTGAACCCCAAAACGGGTTTGGTCCACCTCGGCTGGCAGCAACATCGAGCATAGACACCATAGAATACCGTCATTCACTTTGAGACGGCTGCAACGGCTTGCTGATTCTGCGATCTTTATTTCCTTGATTGGTATCCCCGTTATTCAGGTTTTGCTGCCCTGAATAGCGGTATTGGAATTGATATTCCTTCCACCACGTTGACTAGGAGCTCATAACATCCACTACGCTACAACACCATGGCTCCCATTCGCAGGAAGATATCTGTTGGCGAACTTATATATATATATATATATTGTTTTACTTCGGCAAACATTCCTGGTCTATTGCTTCCTCCCGATGCCAGTTCCGATTTGATGTTTCAGTTCCTCCCTTCTTCATTACCTCCATGCTCATCTTTGACCGATATCTATCCACGATAGCTATCTATCTTTGATATCCCCGGTTCTCCTTCTCGCTGGTTCCTCTTTAGCTAGCGCAAGCTTCATTAGTGCTACGAGACCTACCAGAATACTCTCAAACAATCTCTGTTTGGCCGCTCTATCTTTTGTGAGCTTATACCTTTCAACCGCTCTATGAGCAAAACATTACCTGCTGGGATACTGGTTTTTGTAGATACCATCTTTGAAATGGATTCGTCAGGCACCCCTCATGTAGCTTACTACAAATCTACGGGAGCAGCAGTTCTCCCTATCCTTGCCTTTCTGTCCGTTCTGGCGTGCATTCCCCCGTTGGTTTGGCACTCCCGGACGGGAAATTTTCCTGCATCCTGCCTCATCGCCTGGTTCATCGTTTTCAACATCTTCAACTTCATCAACCCACTTATCTGGCCCACGGATGATGTTGGTCGATGGTGGAATGGCGCTGGCCTGTGTGATGTTGAAACAAAGCTCATGGCGCCTCTTGGAGCGGGAATCGCAGGAGCTCTGAACTGCATTTTTCGATCGCTTGCAGATGTCATGAACACAGATCGCACCACCCTGATTCCCAGCAAGGCTCAGCGGAGACGAACTCTTGCTTTTGAAGTAGTCTTTTGTGTGGTTATCCCTGTCCTGATGATGGCGCTCCATTACATTGTTCAGCATCGTCGATATTACATTTTCGCGATTGTAGGATGTATGCCTGCCTTTCATCCAAGTTGGCCAACGACAGCGTTAATCTTCTCATGGCCACTGGTTGTTTTATCCCTAGCTACGATCTACTGCGGTATGTGCTGCCTATTTTGTCAGGTTCCATTAATATGTTCAGCACCAAACTAATATTGGACTTCTTTCTTCAGGCTTGGTTATATACCGACTTTTCAAGTACCGCCAGCAGTTTTCCTACATCGTTTCCATCAGCAGCAACTCAAGCAAATCAAGATTTATTCGACTCCTGGCCCTGTCACTCGTGATGTTGCTAGGCAGTTTCCCTGTTCAAATATACGTTTTCTACTGCAATATTACGCTGTCCCAGCCCTGGGTCCCATACTCCTGGAATGACGTCCATGGACCTGCGTGGGGAAACGTCGAGAAGCTACCGATGAACGGCGTAGTCTATTACGACCGTTGGATCCAAGTCTCCTGCGGCTTTCTAATCTTTGCTTTCTTTGGTTTCGGAAAAGATGCAACATTGATGTACCGGAAAGTCCTCCTTCAGATTGGCTTGGGCCGGTGCTTCCCTTCCCTACAACATCCACATATCGTCACCAGCAAAGCCTCTGATTCAACACGGTTTGGCTCCCTTGGTAGCCGTGCGAAGATGGTCCCCAAGAAACATCAGTCCATGGATGACTACTCGCCGACTCTTTGGTAAGGTTTTTTTTTTTTTTTTTTACGTATTTTTGTTCTGGAAACTCACCTCGAAAGCCAAGCCCGTGTTTCCCTCAAAATGGTCTCTGACGTTGGCAAAAATTTTTCAGGAGTCTAAGATCTAACTCTGTATCCACGAACACCATGACGTCGATTGACCATGACCGCCATCCCTCTAGCATGGTCATGATAAATAAAACCTTGCCTCTAGCACCCCGCATCCCAAAGTCCGGCCAGCGGGTCTTTAGCATCGCCCCAGTGGCGGAAATTGAGCTGGATGACCATGTGTGTATCCATGAAAAGAGGCCAGCTTCCTCTCAGGTTTGATCAATCCCAGACATTTCAACGATGAAACAGACTGCCAAGTGGTGATTGATAGGATGGGCTGCCATAATTTTGCTTTGTATTTGATGTTCCTTGCGTGCATATTTTTGCAAACGGTTCCTTGTCTTTATATTTTTTCAGTTTTCTCCTTCTCATTTCAGTACATTCCACTTTCCCAACCCCCATCCCTTGTTCCTCATCTACTGCTGTCGAGATACAATAACTGCACGTAAGTCTCGATACTGCTTTGAGCAGATATTTGAAGCTGTGTCGTCTTTTTTTTTTTTTTTTTTTTCTTGCTAACTATTTATTTATTTACTTTAATTGCGTGGATGGTGGCTTTTGAAATAGTGCAGGCCAGGTGTCGTACTTCACTTATTCTCCCTTGCACTATCTTCTCTCAATATTTGCCACCTACAAACTGAAATATGTATGATACCAATTTTAGATGATATGATATGGAACAAACCTGACGTTTTCTCTTTGACATCTAAGTTTAATAGGGTCCCTCCATGGAATATTATAGGAACGAAGGAAAATGTGGATTTCAAATTGAGATTTCAGACTGAATACCCCTTAATCGTACATTCATACATATATTTTTGCGAATCAAGGAGTCACGGTTGGTTGCAAAACAGTAGCTCCGTCAGAATTTTTTCCCCCACCCCCCCTTGTATCCTCCATAGTAAGGCAAATGAAATAGACCACAAGAGAGAACGAAAAAGGTTTTGAATACGCTTTACGCCCTAAACCCCACGCGTAACTCAAGTACATGTCAATAGTAGTTTATGCCCTATGTGTTGGTGTTGGCATGTAAGTGCACAGGAGCAAAACCATAGGGCCAATCGTCTTCTCATCAAACCGACAGAAAATAAATTTGTGAAGTAAAAGGGTTGCATCATTCATTTGCAAGTTTCGATCACTCCCTCTCCAATTCGATGCTTTACTCGCTAGATCCGCGTCTAAGCACTTCGTAGTGTCCTATGGGTTTTCAACAGGTCCTAGGTTAGTTGTTTTGTACGTAGCAATAGTGAATGGAGAGTTGATTGGGATGGATGTATATTTATGCGGATATGTGGATTTTGGGAGGAAACATAAATAGAGGCCAAAGAAAGAATATAAAAGGGAGGGACACGAACGTTGGGTGATATTAAGGGCGGAATTTTTCTTTCCATCCGAGTCTTCGTATGAGCGCATGCTGGCGTCACCCTCTACGTACAGCAGGGTCCTATCGCGGAAAACAGGTATGCAGTTAGCTAATACTTCCTGTTGAACTGATGAAACGGGAAAAGAATCGGTAACGGCTCCTCAATCCCCGGTATGGAAACATGGTGGAAAAAAATATCCCCACTCCCCCGAGGAATCATTTTCAGATATCTACAGAGACGAAAAGAACTAAAACCATGATAACTTACCCCTTTGGCAAGCTGAGCAAATGCTCTCTAGCAGGTCCTTCAGGAGCAAAGCTTGTGATGCGCCACCAGCTCGTCTGGCGATCCTCTTTGGGTCCATAGCTGGTCGCGACGGAGTAGGTCACCAGCTCTCGCCCCGTTGAAGTGGAGCGGAGTTCTGGCTGGCCTCCGAGGTTGCCGACGAGGTTGATGCGTGCAACGGCATTTGGTCGGGTTGTGCTAAAAGCCCGGGTTGCTATTGGTGCCCGGAAGAGGGGTCGGAAAGTGGTTAGACCGCGCATTCTGAGTTATGGGGAATTGGGTGCTTGTGGGTAGAAACGGAGATTGGTCTGGTGAAAGAGCGTGGAACTGTCTGTTCGTGATTGTTGGATGTCGAAACCTCTTGTTTGTTGTTGATATCCCTTTTTCTGAGTCGCGGACGGCGTGCCACGTGATTTGAAGAGACTTCAAGTCATGTGATATAGGACCATTTTAAAACTTTTTACCCCTGAATCTCTGAATCTCTTTTTTGACCTCGTCATCTCATTCCGCAGCAAGAAACTGGAAGAGGGGATATGGAATGTCCCAATTTACATCAAAAGCCCATATTTCGGTGCGCTCATAGGATATTGTGTATTATTTTTTTTAAGATATTCTACATTTGGCCTCAATATGCCCGAAATTGCGACGTATTAAATCGGTCGTTGGCAGACGGTTCGAGGAAACCCTGGGTGGCGGCTTGGACCAACAATTGGCAAGCTTCTTGTTTCCATCTTGTTGGGTGAATCCCATCTTCCCGTGTCCTTTGCTGCATCAGACCCGGACAAGTAGTCCACGTCAGTTATAGGGCTGTTAACACTATATCTTTGGCGCCCATATAGCAATTGCGCTGTTAAATTGCTTGACCCCTTTGCTGCACGTACTATAGTCCGGGGGATTCATCGGGATGATTTGCGCCTCCTTTGAGTAGAATTAGACAATTGAGAATTTAAGATGGTTTAATCAGTTCAAACATGGTATGTAGGTGTGGGAACTGGGGTCAAGAGGAAATAATATGAAGAATAAAGAACAGTCAGAACCCACAAGTATGACTCTGTTTGGCTCAACCTTTCTCATTTGATCCACCAAAGTCGATATGCTTCGAACTGGACAAACCCAACAGATCATTCGTGCCTAGATGCATCATGACAATATCTGGCGTTGCTCTCTTTTAACCCACGGAAGAACGAGACTTTTAGCAACGCTTTCTGTGGCCCTCGTTCTCGCTGTCGTATTCGAATCCCATATAGGCTCCCCACGAAATCCGTATCGGTGATATTAGCCTCCTGAAGCTGTTTGCAGAGTAAAGCACGCCAGCAACATGAGAGTGTGCCAAACATTTAACGACGCTTCCATCCGAAGTCTCGGGGTGAATCCTGATCCCGCCTACATTAAGATGTTAGGGAATGTTGGGGTCGGTCAGTAATTACCGGAGAGGCGGTTATTGAATCGCCTAAGGACATGGTCTTTACCAATTCCTCCTTGTTTGTCTCGCTTGGCATCGTCACTGCAAATGGTGATGCTTGCAAGGCAAACCAATGCCTTAAGAGATTTAAGACGTTTCATATTTCCTCTGGGGCAATTAAAATTTAATCGTCCAGAAAATTTTGTTTTCTAAATTCTAAACGACCACCTTTAACCGGAAGGGCAAAAACTCCATGATTATATTCGGTGAAGACGTATACGCAGATGCGTGTCCCCCTGGTGCTGGACATCTTGTTGTATTTATTTTGTGTTTTTACAAGCAGATGATTCACCGGAGTAGGGTGCTTACATCCGCAGGCCCTCCAGTTTGTGCGCAAAATCAACAATGTGATAGAAATCGTCATCTCTACATCTCCCATCAGAGTGTCTTGTCCTGCTCAGTGACCTTCCCTGCATTGGAGTTTGTTTCCCAGGGTAGACCTTGATAGCAGCTGGGTTGCGTAGTGAAAACCCATGCATGGATGGCAACTTTAATCCAAATTCAACTCCCAACGGTCCAGGTTGGTATGATGTCGGTCGCCTAACACGACTGGTGGAGGGTACTGTCTATTATTTCTTCTTCAGAGTGCAATGGATATCCAACATGCGACTCTACGGAGTATCATTTTTGATGATAAGGAATCTCTCCAACTCCCCCAACGAACGCGATCTCTTTCGTTTTTTGAGCATACGTGCTCATCGATTGGTAGTGGATAAGTGGTTGGCATACTCTCAGGCATGTGTATGCGCATATCCCCGATTATTGCTACCTCGTTCTAGTCCATTGTCCTTTTTAGTTCTGAAAACACCGTGCCATGCTTCACCACATTGAATCTCTGGTGGGAGAGTACGAGAAATCTTTGTGCCATGTTCTGTCAGGCGTATGAGGCGCTGGCATCTACAATGGTATGACTACTGATAGACTATCGTCCTGAACATCACCTATGCTCCAGTCTTACATACGTTGACACCAGCTGATGAGATTTCCAAGCTTAACCTATCTGTCCCACTGACTGCCTGGCACTTTTCTTTCACTGACGAGTTAAAGTTGAAGAATACAGAGTCTTCTTTCGGTATTTTCAATTCATCATGAACGTGGTTACCTTCGCAGGCTTGATATTTCTTTAGGCTACCAAGTGTGGAACAACGGGCTAGTGATGGTACCGCCGCTGAACTTGGAAATGGACGTAGAGCGCTCAAATTGTGCTCCGGTGAGACTTCTTTGAGTAACCATACCAGGACGTCAATCTTGATGCTCTCTTTTAACCCGAGCCGACCAAATAGGACTTCCCACAATCTCCCTTTCGGGACAAAAGAAAACTGGTTGTATATAATTCTCCAAATGTCGTTTCTTTCGTCGACTTTTGGATTTGATAATGTTGACCCATCGAAACTGTGTAACATGCTTTGCCTATGACATTTTCCCATATCCTTGTTTTCCCGGCCGCGTGAAGGGTGTTATTTACACCGTTCTCTTCTCAACTCTGGCACACATCCGCGATTCTTTGAAAGCACTATGAACACCATGGACGGTGGTGACGCAGACTTTCCGGAACAATCGATTGTGATCCCTAATTGCTAGGGTAAACTGTGTCCATAGGCAATCCCAAGATCATGACTCGGATTCCAACTGTATTGGAGCCGCTAGGAATGCATATCACGAACTTTGAGACCGTTGTACTGTATGTACAGTACTGAACATCCCCACCCCAAGTCATATCTGTGACATATGCCATAGGGACCCAAGTTATCGGTGCAGGACTCTAGATCTTTATCAGCTGGAGGCTGGGGATTGAGGAACAGACAAAGGTGTAATAAACTTCACCACAGTAACTAGTCAAATGCATTGCTGTATTCCCTGCTGTTTATTCCAGGACATTTCTCTACTTATTGGGCAAACAACACACGTCGCATTGACAAAGAGGGCAGCTTGCACCGCAATTAGAGACATGTCTTGGAGAAGTACTCAATTGTAGCCAACTTCTGTTAACAATGGAGATTTGGAACGATCAGAGGACATTGTACGCCAGTTAGGTGAGACAAAATGTGGGGAAAGAATTCTGAGCTCTGACCTGAACAGTGTGGGGACCATGCGGATGGGCTTGTGGGGAGTAGTCCTTTAACTGGAGTTTAGTTAAAGACTAACTAAACTTCGGCTTGATCCGCACCCGTGAACCCTATTCTTAATATTCCTTAACCCTCTCTCCCTGTAGAATGTCTGCATCATCCATCCATGTGCCACAACTTTGAGGACCCACGCATCAATGATTCTCCCTGCTTGGCTTCAAGATACGTCTCCCGCCTATCGACAATTTGCAAAATTGTTGTTCTGGTTCAGCAGTTGTTCTGGTTCAGCAGCGCGGGCCGAGGCCAGCCTTGTTGACGTCCCAATTTTTCAATGACCGACCACATCACCTTTACCCTCACACAGGGCAATAATGGTTTGCCAACGAGTCAATCCACTCGTCTCAATTCTGAACATCGTAAAATAACCATGAAGATGTGTCCGTATCACAGCCGCCCCTTGATCTTGTGGCTGGACTATTTGCTGGGCATGGCTCAAATTATCCTGGCGAACCCAAATCCCCAGTTTGTCTACTTTCAGCTCTCGGGGCTAGCTAGCAAACTTGAGCAACGGATGGATGGCTTCATCGACACTTAATAAAAATAATCTTCGGGCTGCCGATGATAACTCTGTCCTATATTCGGATGTTCGCTAACAGATTGCCAACTGGTCCAATAACCAATGATACCGCCATATTCCTTTTTTTAACATCTGTCCATCCACGGACCATGCTTGGAAGCTCCCTCGACGACGTCTGAACTAGCTGGGGATTTCTGCAACACTTGATTTGATGGCACACTTCAAGTCTGAGGTGGCGGTCTTCCCCTTTTCTTTGTCTGGTGCGCTGGTGTTGGTTACAGGGGCTGACTGTTTGAACCCTCCTTGGCCGATTCGCGATGTGTCTGGCTAGGAACGAACTCAATATATGCGCATCACTGAGATTACTGGACCAGGAACCCCTTCTCCGCCTGTGCCTTATGGAGCCTCTCCTGGATGGATATATCCTAGGAATAAGTATTAACGGTCAGGTTCCCACCAGATCAGGCTGACATGCCCTCTACTGTGATCTTTACAACCGAACTTGATTGTTCAAGAAGACCCCACAGGAAATCAAAAAAAAGCTCTCCATCTCTTTGAGCTCCGAAAGACTGCAAAGGCGGGAAGCTCCCAGTCGAACGCAAATCCAATACTTCTGTGTTATGTTCCATCGTGGGCTTTTCCATCGTTTTCCAAATTCCAGATGTATTAGCAATAATGTCAGGACCTTCTAGGAAAATAAACCTCCACCCATCACATAACAATCTGGAGGCCATTTTCGGGATGATTTAAATTTCCTTTTTCTCTTTCCAGTTTGGACAACTTCGAGGAGATTTATTCTATACTCAATACACGGCCTAGATTCATACGACGTGCTGACACTCTGTTCCTTGTTGCTCCCGGAATTTTGAGAGCTGCTCACCATGCGCTCCAGTTTTATATGCATTGTGTTTTACTCATTTGGCATCATAGGCCCAACATGTGCTGGCGGAATTGAAATTCTCCCAAGACAAGGTACTGGAGTCTCGCAACCACCTTATAGTGCTCCTACGAGATCATCACCGGCAACCGACCCTTCCAGGAAACCATCGGACATCCTTACGGGGACAGTCTCTGATTCCCATGCTCATATGACGTCGAAATCAGATCCAACCGGAACCACGGGCGTCCGAACCGATATGACTACCACCCAAGGTCCATCTCCGGCTAACCTTTCTTTCTTGGACGGTGAATTTATTCCGGCGTCCCATATGTGAACTACGCTAACCCTAAGTAGACCAGAAGCAGGATCTGAATATGCTTCCTTTTCCGCCCAGAATAACCCCAGGTTTATCTGTTGTTGGCATTGTGCTTGTTATAGCAGGCGGGATTTATGCATTGATTGGAGTGAAGACTAAATGGTCCGGTTACTTTCGTCCACCACTAGTTTTGCTCGGCTACTAATATGTCTCTACAGGATTCAAATATTCCTTTCAACTGGATTTTTATCTGCAGCTGCTGTGACCGTATGCACGCACTTCCTACCAACAATCTAGACCTATGCTAAAGTTCGCCTCCAGATCCTCATCATATACCTTATCCAACCCCCGGTTAGCAATGCGACGCAAGGTGGCTTTGTTGTTGCAGCCGTAGCAACGGGTGCAATATTTGGAGGTGTTTCTTTGGCCTTCCAGGAGGTCACAGAAAGGCTTGGGTGTATGCTAGGCGGGTTCAGCCTAAGCATGTGGATTCTTTCGATGAAATCAGGTGGTCTTCTCGTAGAAACCGGCCACAAAGCAGCCTTTATAACTTCTCTTACTCTAGCTTTATACTGTCTGTCATTCCATCACCTTACACGACCTTATGGGTTGCTGGCTTCGACCTCCTTTTCAGGCGCCACAGCGATCATTTTAGGCATTGATTGCTTTAGCAGGGCCGGCCTGAAAGAATTCTGGGTCTACATTTGGGGTGAGATTGCTCGGGTAATCTCCACTTTTGAATCATACTAACCTAGCAGCAGGGTTGAATGAGAAAATTTTCCCATCCAACACAAATACGTACCCAATCACGCGAGGAGTTCGAGTGGAGCTTGCAGCCATTGTTGTCGTTTTCTTGATGGGGCTTATATCGCAATTCAAGCTCTGGAAAGTTATCAGAGACCGTACACAAAAGACTACTGCTCTGAAGGAAGAAGAACAGAAGGAGCGCGGCCAGGCTGAAGAAGAAATATCGAGAAATCTAGAAGCAGGTACGAGACGAGAAAGAGATCGTTGGGAAGCCATATATGGCGAGCGGCCGCAAAAGCCCAATGACTCTGAAATTGTAATGGTACAATCCGACACGCAGAGAAGAGGCTCGGGAGCGCAATGTGATAGCACACCCTTGGGACAAAGTGGGACGGTCGAGATGGAATCCTTGCGCAAACCTGACGGAGATGGTACCAACGACAATGACAGATCCCCAAGATCACGGGAATCGATCCAGCCAATTGTCACAACTGCTGGAATGCCAATTCAACACCATGATCTTGCGTCTATTGGCTCCGCCATCGAGGATATACATGGCACCAACTCGAACAGAGGGAGTAGCGAACAGGAAGCTATGCAAGAACCGCCGAATTCAGCGCAATCGCACCATCCACCCGCGAACACTGAGGTGCACGTTTCCGGCGGCATCCCAGTGTATCCGTTCAGGCCCAATCACTCCGAAGATGTCATGGACGACGGCTCGAGCTCAGTCGCTGCATCATTGGCGGAATCTAACTATATGGCGGGCGTAGATTTGAGCACCATTTCTATACATTCAAACCAACAAGCAACACATGATCAACATGGGGGATGCGATCCTATATACGATCATAGTAATAAATTGGAGTTTCTTATTGAGACTCGGAGCATTACTTCTTCTGTTGAGGTTGAGCCGAACGAAGAACTCGTTTATGATCCTGAAACCGCTTCTAATGCTGAGAGCCTCTTTCGGAATAGCTTATCTACGATGAATTCAGATATAGAAGGTTCAGCTGAACCAGCTCCCATTGCCGAGCCCGATCCAACTACGTTGGAGAATGCCAGCGGCCGTGAAAGCCCTAAAAAAGGCGAACCTCCTCTCCCAACTAGTACGATTGGAGCGGCAGACGTGGGACAATCTGAACGGATGCCGAGTTTAATTCCTGATATCGTTATCAATAGTGACAAACCTGGTAACTTTATCCAAGGATGTGGAGATGAAAATTCTTCGGCAGCGGACGCTCCTCCACGTAGTTCAAAAGAGGCCAATGAACAAATGCCAGATCAACGAGTGGGAGTAGCTGGTGCCGCAGAATCCGTTTCTAATCGTTCTTCAGTCACTAGTAACCATCCTGTCGACGCGCTTGTTTCCGACCAGCAAACACCAGATAAGCAGGACAGCGCCAATGGTATTCAGGAATCACTAAGCTCCCGCATGCACGGTTCCTCAATGAGATTATCAAAGCGACAATCAGCCTTTTCGGCGAGAGCTCTTTTGACATCAGAGTCTGTAGACAGCATCCCTAGTCATGTGTCCAAAGTGATTCACTCGTATAGGACGAATGAATGGGCTAAGCATATTTCCGATGCTGAGGCTCCGGAAAATAAGGATGTCGATTATCTACAACAGGATGCAGAAATCAAGGAACCTGTCGTTCCTGTTATAGTATCTGAGCTTCAACAGACTGCTTCCGGGAACTTGTCCCGCTCAGAATCGGAAACCAAGCATCCAGATCCTCGAAAATCTCAAATCGGACGTGGATCAGTTTCCAAGCCTCTCGTAAAATCACGTATCAATGTACAGAAAGCCAACATCTCATCTTTATCACCGCCCGACTCTTCCAACTGTACTATCCGGTCGCAAACACCATCAGTCCATCAATTAGACCGATCAGCATCCAGCTCCTCGCTCAGCATACCGAGACAAGTGGACGTCAGCCGATCTAGACCAGTTTCATTTTCCCTATCCCCATATAGAACCCCTGGTATGATTCCTGAAATTGAAGAAATCGATGAAAAGAGCTTTCCAGTCCGAAGAGTAAGGATGTCATCCCCCCCCCTCCTGGTCCAACGCGAAACCGCAATCCGCAATCGATCCCTCCTGCTTCCTTCAAACTACTCATCCACGTCGGTCAACCGAGTTTCTCGGTCTCAGGGGCAACTCTCCCTCGCACTACCACACCGATCCTCATCTAACCTTTCGTCCCACTATCAAACCAGCCACGGCACCCCTGTAGAATCTGCGGACGACCTCCCACTTTCCGTCGTCCGTGAGCAAATGCACAAAGGAATGCAATCCCAAAACCAAGTGCAAACTCGAAAATTTCAACAACAACAACAACATCGTCTCTCTTCATGTGTAAGCTCCCACTCTCTCGACAACGTGCCCATAACTGCCACTCTACGAAACTCTCAACATTACCAACCACAGGCACCGGACCCGTTGCTAGTCCGCGAAGCCAAACTAGCCCGTTGGCGTGAATCTGTAAAGGAAGAAATCGCCAAGGAAAATGTCCCAGAAGCAGCGGTAGAGACACAGCGTGCCAACTTGATGAAGGAGAGGCGGCGTGACCAGCTTGGGAGACAGCAGGCGGCTCGTCGGGCGAGCTATCGTGACTCGGTGGTAGAAATGGCGATGCGGAATGGTAATTTGCAAGATATGCATAAGGAAGCGTTGAGGAAGATGCAGGCAAAGGCAAATAGCCGTGTTTGACGAACCTGCTTGGTGTCTTTCGAAGAAGGAATTGGGAGTTTATTTTCTTTTGCTTTAATTTTTCTGTTTTGGTTCTCTATTGGGGGGATCTGGGGTTAAATGTATATGATCTATGGGTGGTGTGTGCCTGGGCGTGTATATAGCTATAGACTAGCAATCTCTCGACGAGGATATATTTGCACATAGACAGATGACGGGATATATATATTTTTGCATAATGACATATTCTTCACCGTATATGTAAATTTTAAACCCGAGTGCATTCCTTATACGTTTGGTACTCAATTGGAGTGAGAAGTGATCGCAGGATGGAACACGGATGGACATAAAGACTGCTTCTCGTTTCGATCGGAAAAACACATTCTGGGTTCACCATAATTGACTGTTGATCTTTAAGCCTGGAATCTGCGGTCCAGTTCGGCATTTGGCATTTCCTTCTCTCTACCGTCCAGCTTTGATTGATTGTTATGTTCGCTTCTTTCTTCTTGCACACTGTTTCGCCGCCACGCGAACATCATCGACGGTTTCAAGCATTTTCTTTCACGCTCTTCCACATCATTGTTTTTTGGGGCTTCTCGTTTCTCTGTACTGTTTCAATGGGAATTCTCTTCCATCACGATACATTGGGCTGGACACATTGTCCCAACAGCCTTGCAAATGACAGGTTGTGACACCCGCCGAGTCATGCACAAAGCTTTCTGAACGCATGACTCGTTATCCCATTATTCAGAATCTGCAAAATTGAATCAATGGGACTCTGGTGAATGTTCTTGGCTGGATGGCTGAGTTCCAGTGGATCGAATATGAACATGCAGCGCAGTGCCTCGCGCCCGCGGTCATCACCGAAAGAGAAACATCAACACCATCTACTGAGCTGGATGGTGTGTCAAAGGGTGATGGAGCAAAAATGTTCATGCCAGTGTTTCTCCAGGGGAAGAAACTGTTTTTCAAAAGGTTCAGCATATGCATCTCTGGCTCGGTCTGTGGAGACACGGTAGATTCCACCGAGCCCTGGCCGGATCAGAGCTTAACTTGGGTGATTATAATGGCGTTGCTCTATTTTCACGTCTCCCTTTTCAAGGACCATTTCAACACACCGGCGTAAGCAGCCCTTCAGAAGATTAAGATTGGGTTACAGGTCAGGGGAAAAGGACAGCAGATAACTATCGTTCTACTCAACCATTTGTGAGATATTTTGCCATCCACACGTAGCTGTGGCCGGCACTGTCTCTCTTCAACATGGCTGCCCTGATCGTCCTCCATGCAGGCAGCACATGGGAATCATGCCCATTTCCCAGTGGATATCTCACCTTCACTCCCTCGGGAGCTTGAATCAAACCCCATTGTGGGATTGATTGCCAGAAAGGACTAATTCTCCACACACCATCTACGAAAAGCCCTCTTCATGCCTTGCATGATGTTGAGTATTAGAGGTTTGTCAATCAGCGTCTGCCATGCGCTGGCTTCCGATAGGGCACTCAATCTTCCCCCCCCCCCCCCCAAATTTGCCCCATACTCCCTCTGTGCACACGTTGGTAATGTCTCAGGGAGATATAACTACCCGTGTTCCAAAAATGAAAAACGTTTTATTCACCAACAGCCCTGAGGAATGGCGATTCAGTTTCCCAATAGTCAGGCCAACCGAACTTCTCCGTGGTGGAACTTCCAAGTCTCAGGATTTGACATTCCCCCACCCATCATGAACCACAGAAGGGCAGCATTTCTTCCTTTCACCTGGAAGGCAGTATGATTCCCCTGAGGACCAAAGTTATTGGTTGACGATTGGTTTCAATGTATTTCCAGGGTGAGGCCCTTGCAGCGCATCCTGTCACAGGACGCCAAATCCAGGCTCCCCTAGAGCCATGCCACCGCTGTGTCGTTACTTCATCATTATATTGGTTATGCAAAGTCGATTACGGACAAGTGCTTATGAGTCCTCAAAGAATTCCCAGCAAGTTCATGGGCATTCCGGTTGCAGTATGATCAAGAGTTCTGATTGAACAACCAGTCTGAACCCTTCCATCAATTTTGCTTGTTACCCCCACTCTCCCGACTCTCCCCTCTCCGCCAGAGAGATACTGATATTTGCCCTGTGCAGAACGGAGCCTCCGAACCGGATGCACAACCCGTCCTCATCCCCCAGACAAGAGTGTTCCAACTTGTCCCTGCACGCCACAATATCCCACAAGGAAACTACAGCAGTTGGCTTGCGTATTGTAAATACAATTGAACAAAGCTCCCATTAAACGGAGTCATGGTGATCCTCATCTTTCCACCTCTTTCCCCCCCCCCCCCCCTCCCCTTTTGGCTGCGACAGTGGCGTTGGCCCTTGATGACCACAAAGCTACAGACTCCCAGTCAGGATGGCCCGATGGCGCGCAGAGAGCTTTGCAAATGTTTTTGAAGTTGTGTTTGATCAAGGGAATGATAGGATGTCATCTGCCTTGACAGTTTTCGTGCTTGCAAAGGCTGCAGTGTATGTTACGAGTAGGGTTGCGGGACAAAGGAATGACAGTATGAGGTCCGCTCCTTGTATATTCTTGACCAACATGCATGCAGCACTTCTAGAAGTTCCATCTTTGCTCTGGGTGGTCTGTCTTATTGCCTCCATAGACAACAATTCATCAAACCCCTGGTCATCGGGGAGGGCCCAACGAGCTGCTCGCTCGGACTCGTGCCGTCTAACCATACACCCGGGGATCGATTTCGTTTACCGGGGGTGGCTCTCCTGGGCTTATATTACTTCAAAGGGATCCTCCCCCTGCCCATAAATTACCTTGAAATTCCCGTTCCGATAATATTCCGGAACATATGTCCTGTTGTTATTTACGCACACAGCAATTTAACCCGATCGCCATGCAAAATTCGCAAGTCGTTTTCCATTTTCCTGCTTATTATTGCGAATTTCTTGACTTTCTTGTATGGTGGGAAGCAGTTTGAGAGACGAGGGTCTGATCACCAGGGGATATGAAACCGGCATCACTATATAAGCATTAAATACTTTGCTATTCGGGCTGTAGATTGGAAACGAGATCTCAATTTACCAGCAATGTCTCCAATTCCACCACGAAGTATATTGGAGGGATTCTGAAAGCAGGAAATAATAAAAATAATAAAAATAAAAATAAATTTAGACTGAATCACCACAGCTGCTACGTCTTGTGGCGTGGTAAGTGCTCTCAAGATAAGATAGAATTGCTTCAGTTTAAAGTACTTTACGCAAGCATAGTTACTATTCGCAGTTTATTTTTATTTTATTTTTTGTGTGTTTGTATTTTCTATTTTGCATGTTAACATGTGCCATGTGGGTTCTATTCAATATTTTCCCTGAGGATAGATGCTGGGCCCCAAGCAATAATGAGAACGATTGCAATCTTCGAGATATTGGTCTCGGAGATGGAAGATGAGAAGATCAAAACCAGGCCCGTTTGCGATCACAGAACTCTGGAGTAGTTAATTAGTTATCAGACGGTTTCAACTTGCACCTGAAAACATGTCGCATCCAATCTTGGAATAGCGGGCGGTCCACGCCCGTAATGATAGGCCTTGATCTAGGGGGCTTTAGGCTTGAGCAAAACCGGAACTTCAGGGGCTGCTACCCTGAAGGCTCAAAGGCATCAACCACTGATAGTGGAACTACTGCCTATAATGTGGATTTTAAGTGCCATACGGCGGGTCAAAACAAGTCTCTATTGACGGAAAAGTTTGAAGAGCCCAGCCCAATTCTACCTTGCCATTGCAGTGTGATGGGGGCAAACATAACCAATTGGGCAGATTCGACTAAATCGACCCGATTGCACCAGAATACAACCGACGAGGAGCAAGATCCCGATCCCACGCTCTATTGCTCTATTGCCATTCGTGCCAACTTGCCTTGCCTTGGACCTTACGCCTGCAAGCCATGCGCCAGAGAAACAGCCGGGCGCCATTCTGATTAAGCACTGGACTTGAGCTTAAGCCAGAACTCATGGTCCTCAATGCCCGGGAAGAGGAGATGTCACGAGCAATAATTTACCTGCAAAGAGGAAAAAGGGGATGGGGGGCCAGGCCAGTGAACCGAGGGGAAAGAAAATAAAATAAAAATAAAAATAAAAATAAAAATTGCCGCTAAAACATGCCGTGGTACGGATCCTCCTCCCGTTGACTGATGAGCCTGCAGCAGCTAACGGAGTCCGATTGATCCAAGGCCGCAGGAATGCGAATCCTAGCTTCTATGAGAACTTATTATTCATTGGAAGTCCAGCACCAGGAAGAGAACTGAAATTGGATTTTGATGCAGGGCAGCCGTTGCTGCAGATGCTTTTTTTTTCTGCTTGATATCAATGCGTGTATATATAAATAAGACACAAAACACAAAAAAACAAAACCGGACCCTGCAGGCCACATCGATTGCTGCAGCTGCCAGAATTTTATGGTTATTATGAAGATCGAAAAACAAGTCTTCTTGCCGTTTGGTTGCTTGTAAACTGCAAAAAGGAAAAAAGAAAACTTCGCGCTTGGAAATTTTTTGGCTCCAGGCACAACAAGTGGCCCCCCCCCCCCCCGTCCGTGACGTTTCTGGCTAGACAGCGTTAATTAGCGGGCGACGGCTCGGTACCAGGTCCAACAAGGCGGGTATCCGGGGAGAAGTTGGAATTATTTTTCCGTGAGGCAGCCATGGGCCGCACCGGCCCATGAACGGGTCCCTTTCTTTGGGCCCCCCCCCCCCCCCCCAGGGGGGGATCCAGCTTTTGTTTGGAAAAATTCTCACCCAGAGGGGGGGGAGGGGGTGGGGTTTCTGGGGCGATCACCGACTGGAAACTGAGACCCAAACTGCGACTCGACCAGTGTGCTCAGCAAAGGAGAAAGAGAGTCTGAGGAACAATTGATCTGACATCCCCCAATCCACAGAGACAGAAGGAAAAGCGAAGGAGTCGAACATCGCATCGCATTGGATTCGACACCGGCGGGCGGGGGGAAGGGGGGGGGGGGGGAAGGCGTCTTCTTCCGTCTTGATGCGCGCAATCCAATGGCCCATGATCCGTCACAGTAATAATAATCGAGGTAAAATGTCACCGAACCAGCCTGGCCAAATTAGTTTTCCCTCCCGTGTATGTATGTGTGTATGTGTGTATGTATGTATGTATGTATGTATGTATGTGTGTGGTGTGCAATTGATCTTAAAATCTTGTTGTTCTCGGCTTGCGATGGTTGGGAATTGAGGCGCGATGATGAATATGTGCACCGGTCTGCAGGCAGAGTTCCCAGGTTATGTATGTACTCTTTACTCCGTGATATATCTACGAAAGAGTGTGTCTGCTTGCGCCAACAGCCGACTGTTATAAAATAGGCCTCGTAACCTCTGATTCTTCCTAACCGGCTTCGACTTTTGTCTCGAGAGAGAGACTCCGTCTCCAACAACAAACAGACTATGCCCGCAGTAGCTTGGCTCCCACATCGAACCGGCCTGGTTATAAACTGAATGGTGGTTCCGATCGATATATTTGCTGCACAGATCGACTTGGTAAGATCGTTGGATTCGGGTCAGACCAGGCTTGATACAGGCTTCTTCTTCTACTCTCTTGTATTTGATTTGGTACTTTTACTTTTACTTTTATTTTTAACTATAGTTGGCGGCCACTCGATCAAGGTGCTCGGGAACCGGTTCAATTTTTTTTTCTTTTTCTTTTTTCTTTTCTTTTCTTTTCTTTTTTTTTTTTTTTTTTTTTTTTTTTTTTTTTTTTTTTTTTTTTTTAAACTCAATGCTTCAGTTCAACCGCGGGATTCTGCTTCTTTGGTGTGGATTAAATGCTATCGTAGGATTATTTATTTATTTATCATCCTCACCGTCTCTGCCTCGCCCTCGTTATGGATACGGTTGTGAAGATCCGGCAAGAAAAAAAAGTTCTCCATACAGGACGCTCTGTGAATGGGGTCCCGGCGAGGCTTCTATTGTCCTGCAACTCTGCTCTGTCGTTCGGTGCGGGAGTGCTAACTATACGGATTATCATCTCTTTAAACTTGGTGGTTTTTCCGCCCTGCCCATATATATATATATAATTCATCCATCCGTCCCCCCTCTTCTTCTTCTCTGTATTCAACCCCCCATCCACTGTCAGTCACTCTTGTGTTCTGCTGTGGTGCAGGCATGCTGATGCTGCTTGTCACTAGGCCTGCCCCTAAGCCCCTTTTACGGCTGCTGCTGCTGCTGCTGCTGCTGCTGCTGCTGCCCTCGCCAATCACCGCCCGCAGCCCGCTTCCTCCTCAACCTCCGTCTCCACAGCAACTTCACCCTCAACACCAGCCAACAGCACCACTGTCGCTTCCTCCTCCTCCTCCCTCGCCGGCGACAACCACGGCGTCCTATGCTATACACCGTCCACGCACTCTATCATCGCGGGCGGCTGAAGAAGGCCCCTACACTGACATCCCCCTCGTCCCCCTCTGCACAGCCAATTCCCCGGCTGCATCCTCGCTTCAACCCCCCGAACGCGCATACCAACCTCCCCCTCGAAGACCTGCAAACATCCCCCCCTTCCACGAGCGCCGTAGTTCCCAGGGCCGCTCTCTCTTCTCCACTGTTCGCACCAGCATCCGCAAACCCCCATCATCTAGGCTCTGGAATCCCATCAACTACGTTCCCCGTACCACCATCGTCACCGCCCCTCGCCCTGCTCCCGTATCCGACACCTCCCCTTACATCGACGCTCAACGTGACGCTTACCCGCTGCTGACTATCCCGGAGCAGCGGCGCAGTCGCCAACCACCCAGTCCGACCAGTTTGCTGGTGGAGCGCAGCGTCGCGGATACTGAGAGCGGGCGTGCCAGCATTGGGCTTCCCCCCGGTCATCGACGAAGCGGCGTATGGGAGAACAGCAACATGGGCAAGGATTCAAAGCAGTCGGGAACCCAGGGGCAGAGAGATGCGGACCACAAGACCATCCGTCGCCCGGATCCCGCCCTTGTGCGAACTCTAGACTTACCGACCCAGGATCCGATTAAACCTCCCTCCCACAGCGGAGCCCATCATGACCATCCCCGCCATGTGCCATCACAACAATCCCTGCGCTCACAGACATTCGCTTCTTTCCCTTCTGGCAATGGCAACCACTCGTCGGGCGGCAGCGGCATTGGTGGTGGTGGTGCGGAGGGCGATGTCGCGGATGAACTAGCCTGGGGTCCCTCACATCCATGCTTCCCCCATATGAACCCGCACGTCCCCATCACCTCTCCCGAATACCAAAATACCCGCATCATCCGCATAAGGCGCGATTGGATGGTGAAGGGCGACCTGGCACCAACATTCTCAAACCTCTACCCAGAGATCCTCGACCCGCTGCTCCCCGAACAAGAATTCCGAACTGTAATCGCAAAGGTCAACGCCGAGCTCATCGCAACCTTCGACCCTTATAGCGCCCGCAACTGGTTTGACGGCACAATGGGGTTGGTGACGGGATGGGTCTGGGATGACTTGGGCCTCACCGGGGTCAAGGGTCGGCTAGACTCTATCGAGAAGTGGATTGAGAATTGGAATCAGACCGTGGGTGTTGAGGAGGGCGTCAAGATTTGGAGTTTAAGGAGCACCGGGTACCTGTCTGTTGATATTCAGATTCCGGATCCGAAGGTGGGCATCGTCGAGAGCGATGGGCCGTTTGCTACGGATATTGCAGCTGACACTGCTGGGGGGAATACGGCGCAGCAGCAGCATCACCTCCAGCCGGAGAGCTGATGGGACTTGTTTATTCCTTCCTCCCTCCCTCCCTCCCTCCCTCCCTCTCGCTTCCTTTCTTTTGGTATTTGATATAACGTTATTAATTTATGATATCCCATATCTGTGTCTTGCTCTATTATTTCCCCCCGTGAACTGGCGTTGTGAACTACAAAGTTTTCTCTTCTCGGCTTGGTTCTCTCCTTTTCTCCTTTCTATACTCACCGTTAGACTCTGCTTGTGGTTGATGTGGCTAGTGCTCCATTGCCTTCTAGAAGCCCCTCCGCACTGTGTATTGTGTGCTTGTTACCATGCTCATCCCATGCCCATCTTTACGCCTCCTCTCTGTATGTTGCTAATTCCTGGTGGCGGTGGTTTCCTCTCCATTTTTTTTTTTTTTTTTTTTTTTTGGGGGGGGGGGAGAGGGGGGCCGCGAGATATGTTCGTCGTCTGTCATCTTTAGATCTAGTCCTATTTATATATACACCCCAACTGCTATTCCACAAATGGCAAGATGGATATTGTAGCATGAACCTCACACTCTTTTCTGGACTCCTTCGTGTAATTCCGTGCTGGCTGGGAGATTTTGTAGCGAATCTTGGTGGACGACCAGCAGATAAATCGAATACTACCTGAGTAACGGGATGGCCGATAAAGCGTATCGTCCGTCCTCGTTGGCTAACCAGGGTCTAGTTTCTACTACTGCTGCTTTTATATATAAAATACTTTTAACCATATGAAGAAATAAGATAATTGGAATCCTGCAGAATCCAGAGTTAGTCATTGTAAAGGAGTTTCTGTTTTAATAAAGGATATCTGTTGCAATAAAGTATTCAGCTCTTATTTAATGAATTAAAATAAAAAAGACTAAAGTTGAAATCGATCTCAAGTCTCACTTGTTTTTATTTACTATTCTATTTAAGAACAATATATACAGAATAAGCACCTTGCCATGATACATAAATCTTGTTATCAGCTCTAAAGTTACAAGAAAACTTCTCATTAGAAGAAATCTTTTGAAGTGAAAATTGATATAAATAAAACTAAATTTAATCCGTTTTCATCTAGGCTATTATTAATCGTCTGTCTCGAGTAACTAATTAGTTAAACCAACTTAACTCTTCAATCAACCCGTATGATACGCCGTTATCGCCTGAGAGTATATATCCACTTCCCCCCCTACCCCCGGGAGCGAGCGAGCACTGAACAAACATCTCAAACCCCGACAATGCTCCCTTTGCAACGATAAGCCAAATCCAAACCACCATGCTCTCCGGAATCCTGATCTTCAACCAAAAGGGCGAAAACCTCATTTTCCGCTCGTTCCGCAACGACTGTCGCTCCCGTCTGGCTGACGTATTCCGTATCCAGGTCATCTCCAACGCCCGGGTGCGCTCGCCCATCCTAACGCTGGGTTCGACGACGTTCAGCCATGTCAAGCACGAGAATATATATCTGGTTGCGGTGACCAAGAGCAATGCGAATGCGGCGCTGGTGTTTGAGTTTTTGTACAAGTTTATATTGCTGGGGAAGGGCTACTTTGGGAAGCTCGATGAAGAGGCCGTGAAGAATAATTTTGTGTTGGTTTACGAGTTGTTGGACGGTGTGTCTTTTCTTTCTTTCTGTATCTCCCTTTCTATATCTTCTTTTCCCGCTTGCGTGCATTCATCCTTTGCTATGGGCTGCGTCGAGTGTGAACCCTGGCTAATTTTGAACGGCGTTTGCCCCGTGAATTTTTGACAGAGATTCTTGACTTTGGATACCCCCAAAACACCGAAACGGATACCCTTAAAATGTACATCACAACAGAGGGCATCAAGTCTGCAATTGCCAACTCGCCGTCAGATTCCAGCAAGATTACCATGCAAGCTACGGGAGCCCTCTCATGGCGTCGATCGGATATCAAATATAGGAAGAACGAAGCATTTGTCGACGTAATCGAGGACGTCAACCTCCTCATGTCTGCCACCGGCACCGTCCTCCGCGCCGACGTAAACGGTCAGATCATCATGCGAGCATACCTAACCGGCATGCCAGAGTGCAAATTCGGCCTGAACGACCGATTACTCCTCGATAATGATGCCTCCGGCGGCGGGCGATCCGACGGCAGAACCAGAGCAACGCGTGCTGCGGCCGGCAGCGTTACTCTGGAGGACTGCCAGTTCCACCATTGCGTGAAGCTTGGCCGGTTCGATGCGGATCGGATTATTTCCTTCGTCCCGCCCGATGGAGAATTTGAGCTTATGCGATACCGTGCGACGGATAATGTGAATTTACCCTTCAAGGTCCATCCTATCGTGAGGGAGATCGGCACTACAAAGGTTGAATACAGCATTGCCATAAAGGCCAACTACGGCTCGAAACTGTTCGCTACGAATGTCATCGTGAGAATCCCGACGCCCCTCAACACGGCCAAGATTACGGAGCGGACGAGCCAGGGACGTGCAAAGTACGAGCCGGAGCACAATAATATCGTGTGGAAAATTGCGCGGTTCTCGGGACAGAGAGAATATGTGCTGACGGCTGAGGCGACGCTGACGAGTATGACGCAGCAGAAGGCGTGGAGTCGGCCGCCGCTCAGTATTGGCTTTAGTCTGCTGATGTTTACGAGCAGTGGGTTGTTGGTGAGGTATCTGAAGGTGTTTGAGAAGAGTAACTACACCAGTGTGAAGTGGGTGAGGTATATGACGAGGGCGGGGAGTTATGAAATTCGGTGAGATTTGACCTTTTCTTTCTTTCTTTCTTTCTTTCTTTCTTTCCTTTTCTTATTTTCCTGTTCTCATGGACTGGCTAACTTGCTCTTTCACCATATATAGATTTTAGCGTGTCTCTTTATTTTGTCGACCGGATCACACTTTTATCCTTCGCTTCGCGACCCTCCCATAACGCGCCGCTTGGCCTCCCTGCCATGCTATCTCCTTGTCTGGTGAGTCGACCTTTATCTCGTCATGCCCGTCATGCATTCATAGCATGCGTGGCATTGTACATGATTATTTGCCCCACGCCTCTCAGTGGGTCGACCCTCGCTCCAGCCATGGAGGCAGGTTCAGAACACTCTCCATTCAACGACCCAGTGTTCCGTCGAATCAAAAAGTCGTCCTGACGGATGACTCCCGCATAGATATGCTTCATCTTAGTGGCAGGAAGTATGTTTCTATTTGTCCCATCAGCGTGTGGTCCAATTTTACAGCATCAGGCCTACGGGGGCCATTTGACCTCTGCGTTTCGGAGTATGGGAAGCGGGTATCTTCTTTCTTTCTTTATTTTTTTTTCTTTTTTTTCTTTTTTTCTTTTTTTTTTTTTTAAAAACTCCCCGCCAAATGACGGCGAAACCATGGCCCAACGAAAGCAGGGCGTTTGAAGGTTCTTGTTACATATTACTACTTGTACCTACCTTTAATTGACCTTTCAGACAACCCTTTCGCTCTTTTATATTTTGACCGAGGGCCCTAGCGGATGGAGTGTTTGTATATAGATACTCCGTTAAGGCGAACAATCCAAGTGGACACCTTGACACATTTTGCCCTTCAGCGTCTGTACATAGCAGAGGTCTCAAGACTATTTATTCATTTCCACTCCCCATTGCCCTCCCTCCCAGGGCCGCCAAAGGGGGTATGTATGTTCCATGGGCCGTTCCATGCGGTCCTGGGCATGGTATGTATCAAAAGCATCATCCACTAGGCTGCAGTCATATTTTGCTGGTGATAGTCGGTGAGCCTCTCTCATTAATGGGTCACTCTAGATGGCAGGTCATAGAACCCCCAGGGAGAAGATGTTGGGGTAGCAAAAGGCTCTGGCGGTGAAGTGATCTGACCAACGGTGTATTGATAGTCAAAAGGGATTCCCTCGCAGCGCTTATGATCATGGGTAGAGAGTGAGTGCCAGTTCAAAATCGCCCTGCTTGATGACACGTTGGCTTGGACGAATTGCGCTGCCCCACCCACGAACAGAGCTTGCACTGATCCATAGAAGGCTAATAACTCTATAACAGATAAATCATCTCCCCGTGAAATGCCTTTCGATTATCTGAAGGAGAGGAGAGATGAATAGTCCTATCTCGACAAGATGTTCACTCTCTTTCCCGGTGAATTTGTCACGGCATTTCCAGAAGAGGAGGAGGTGCGTGATTTTGTCCGGGTGGGTTAGAGTTAGACATTTCGTTAACTGAGATATTAGGAAATGATCTGCCCTCCTGTCTCCACAAATTGTTCCCCACTGGCCCTTCTGCACCGCTCCGTGGCATGAACGGACCGGTTGTCCCATCTACCACCAGGGGATTCTCAAAGCCACTCCCGGAGTGCCAGCCGGGTGATGGGAATGAGCAGGCTATTTAGTCCACTCACTATTCCCATCCGCTGGAGGACAGGGACGATTTTACCTTCTCCTCCTCTCTCTGGTGAAGAATCGTAACGTATTTAACCTCCATGCTGGGGCCCCCGTATGGATTCTCTGGGTAGGATTGTGCATATTTCCTGCGTTGGGGGAGCCTTTGCGGGGAATATCCATACGCGCCGGGGGATAACTGGATTCCATTCATCCAGCTAAATATCACTATCCTCGAGGGTATGGTCAATGCCCGCTAATTGAATGGGCATATGAAAATGACCTTGGGACATCATCGCATCTCCAAACAAACATTTTTAACGCCAGAGCCCGGGCAGAAAGAGAGAGTACGCACGACGTCTAGATACGGCTGTTAAAAAAATATCACGTTTGAAAGGGCTGAGTTTATAAGTTTTTCATTTTTTTTTTCATTATTATTATTTCATTTCTCCTCGTCTACACGGAGGATCGAGAACAAAAGCTGACAACTCGGAGTAGTCAAGAAGATCGGGATCCAGCCCCCGTCCTTGGAAGTAAAATACAGGGATAGAAGAGGAAGAAGGGAGGAAGAACTAGATAAAATACAATCCGCCAAACAAGGACAGTCTGCGAAGAGAAAAAAAAAAGATGAGAAAGGTTGCTGACATACGGCGTGAAAAGGATGCCATCTGGGAACAAAGGAAATATATCGAACAAAGGAAGTGATGACAAAGGGCGAAGCGGGAAAGCATTAATGGACATGAACAAGCCTGGTGGCACCTTTTATTTTCCCCTTCGCGGTTTGTTTGACGTAGATGTAGGGATAGATGAATAAAGCGGATGTAGTTGTAGAGCATATTTGTGGTGTGGTTGGTTGTGGTAGGCGGAGGCGGGAGCGGAAGTGGGAGCGGAAGTGGGAGCGGGGAGCCACGGGACGCGAAACCAGGGATCGATCGGTGGAGAAGAGAGTAAGAGCAAAGTCAAGATAACCCAAAAGATTTGAATGGGAAGAAGAAGAAGAAGATGATGATGACGAAGAAGATGACGATGATGACCAGAGAAACATTCCAATCCCAATCCCGTCGCAACTCTCAAGAACACGACAGCAAACACGTAACGATTCCTCCCATCCGCCCCATCCATGGCCAGCCAGTCCAAATTTCCCAGCGCGCCTGAAATTGACAGAACGAATATGTCTAAGGTTAAAAGATATCGAAAGAAAGCATAGGAGGAAGATAGAATAAAAATAAAAAGAATCTATAGATCAGCGAAAGAGAAGAGGAAGAAAAAAAAATATCAGCTCAAGATTCTGCCCATCCTAGAACACGAAAAGAAACAGAAATACAAAATGAAAACAACAAAATTCCAGACAAAAATAGAGGAAAAGAGAAAAAAAAAAAAAAAAGAAAGAGCAAAACTTCAAGTATCACCCCTCCAATTCTCATGAATCCGATTTCTAACGATATTTCTCCCCCTTCGCAGTCCCACATTCCCCTCCCCCACAAGCGCCTTCCACCGCCTCCCAACACTATCATTGTCCTTCCCCATCCTGCGTGCACACTCACTCCAATCCCGCTTCGACAGCTTCAGTTTCTCCAGCACAAGCTCCACTAGTTTCCTATCATCCTCACTCGTCCAGTCTGACTGCGGGTCTGACGAAGCGGTATGACCACCGTCACCAGCATCGACTTTACCATCGCAACCCTCCGATCGCAAGACATGATGACCAACAACGCTTCCTTCACCACCTCGTGAAACAGAAACAGAAACAGAAACAGGAATATCCCCCGATGAATGTGGCGAAGGCAGCAGCCGCAGGGCCCCCGGGGACTCCAGCGACTGAAAATCCGCCCGGACAAGACCAAGTGGTAACTCAGGGGGGGCGCGCCGGCGCCTTTTCGGTGTCGAGAACATGTAACCATCCCTCGCAACCCTTCCCTCGCGACCACCACTGCTGCTACTATCGCTGTCGTCTTCATAAATGTCTCTGCGCCGCTTATTCATCCCCCTCTCCCTCTCCCTCTGCTGCAGTTGCAGCTGCATCTTTTGCGCAGGCTTCATAACCCTCTGCACGCGTGTAGTTGTATAGGCATGTAATAGTAGTTGTTGCTGTTGATGATGCTGTTGCTGATGCTGATGCTGATGCTGATGCTGATGCTGATGCTGCTGCTGCTGCTGCTGTTGCTGCTGTTGCTGCTGGTGCTGGTGCTGCTGGTGCTGGTGCTGCTGCTGTTGTTGTTGTTGTTGTTGTTGTTGTTGAGGTCGCACATGCAGCGGGCTCTGTAGTCGTTGTTCTGTCTTTGCGTTTACGTGGCGTGGTGAGGAGACGGGAGAGGTGGAGGAGGCGTTGGTGTTGAGGAGGGCTTGTAGGGCTCGACAGGTCCCCAGCAAGCCGTTGCCGGCGATGAAGCCATCGTCGGACGATGGGGGCGGGGTGGATGGGAAGAGGCGGCTGGGTGTGAAGCGGGTGCGCGTGGGGAGTTGGCGCGAGTCGCAGGATATGGCGGATGGGAGGAGCATGGTT